CTGCATTAGTCAAGCAATTTAATGAAGACGTATAGAATCTGTTTTCCATTTTTTAATCGAATGATTCACGTTAACAAAGAGTCTGCATCAAGTTTTAGCCCATCTTTTGAAACATGACATGTTATATATGGGAGAAGATGCTTTATCAAAGACATATACAGGTAAGTCTCAAGATTTAAGGACGAATGGATTAACTTCCATGGAAGACAAAGAATACTGTATACAGCCATCCATAAGCAGAATGGATGAAATTCTTGAAAGCATTTGAAAGTTAATTCATCAAAACAGGCATCTTGCTATTCTTAATTTGTGGGGGAGAGAATAATATTAAGTTCATCGCACTGTATCCACATTTCTCAGCATACAATTAATTATGGGTTCATGGGTACAACCAATAGAGATTGATATGAATCAATAAAATCAAAATTTGATGAGGCCAGTACCAATGCATATGTAATACAAAACTCTTGCAGAAGACCAGGATTTTACAATGAACTGCCCTGCAGCTTATTGACTTGCTCATGAATCAGTGGAATCCAAATGGGACAGACGTTCAAGCCTGCATGACTAACTACGTTCATGATGCACACCATAAGCTGTTTTTACATTCAGGCCTCAAGGTTGAAGGTTAATGACACTTTGCAGATTCAGAATAATTTACAGCAGGTACTTATTGAAATAAGGGAAGAAGTTTAAGCGTGCTTCTGATGATGGCAGAATCACTAGGCTTGGTGTATAAACTCCCACGTGGAGTACTCTGAAGGAGTCAATTAAACAAATTTTTCTTTATAAATGCATTCACAGAATGTTTGGGTACCAACTCATGCATATATTAATAGATGGTATTTTTGACTTCTTATCTCAGACCCACAAGTCTTTCCTTACATGATATTCAACTTTCATACCATCATATTTTTCCACTCATTTCATCAGACCATCCAAATTTATAATAAAAGCATCAATTTAAAAACACTTTCAAACCCAAAATTTGGCCTATATCTGCCATCATGAGGGGTTATCTCTATGTTCTATCATTACTGCAAGTAACAGTTGCTATTATGGTTAGCTGATGATCACAAGATAGTACATGCATATAACAATACATGTATTAAATTGATCACATATGATTAAAAGTACATTTTAGCCTTATAAAAGAGGCGATAATGATAGAGGCAGTATGACCTCTGAAACGTTGGTTAACATCAACCAGACTACACGGCGCAACAACCCAGAAGACAGAAATCTTCATACTCACCACTGTGAAAACCTCAAATCTTACAGCACAAAAGTTACATATTAAGTTACAGGTTGAAACATGTTAGGATTTTAATATGTTTTAAATGTAATACTTTTATGTCGTCTAGGGCATACCATTTAAGATGACCCAATAACAATCACTACTACTGTACAAAAATGAGATCAGATGCAGGTCTACCCCTGTGCATAACAGACTCTCCTAACCAACCTATTACACAGAACTCAAGGTCACTGTGGTTCCTAGGCCATTGTGAAAAAGTGGTGCATGAGCAAACATGGTGTATTTACCAAAGGAAAAGTTTACTGAATAAACCCACAATGCACACAATACTGAACAGATTGTTTCTAACACTGACCCAGAAACACTGCAAAATCACACAAAACACACTAAAAAAGGTGGATGTTTGTTTTAAAGGTTGTGGTGGACATTTTCAGCATCATCTGTAAATTCTTCATTATAAATAAAAATTAAGAAAAACAACTTGTCTTGTTATAGTGATGTCACCAAATACTGTTGAAATTAGGATTTCATTTAAATGGAACATTCTGTATTTGAATGGCTTATATGAATTTTCAAGAAACAGCTTGTCAGTTCTTGGCAATAGAAGCATTTAATAGTTTATGTGACCTCATAACCACAAATTAAAGCAAAGAAGTTTGGTCATAAACTTCCATAAAGAACTGTAATGGAAATATTACTCCACAGTTGCACTATTCCATACACCAAACAGTAATTTTAAATAATGTTTAACAGACTCTTACCTCCATTATATTCATTGATGGCATCTGCAAGAGCGTCAATTGACTCTATGTCCAGGTTATTTGTAGGTTCATCCTGAAATGTAATATAATTATAAAAGTAAGTGCACAAGCATTATTCATGAATTATGAATAATCAGTATCTAAACACCGAGCAATTTATTTGTGATACCATTTATCTTTATGAGCCAGGATAGTTCAGTCAGTATAGTGACTAGCTACGGGCTGGACGGCCGGGGTTCGATCCCCGACGGGGGCGGAGGATTTTTCCTCTAGCCTCTGCGTCCAGACCGGCTCTGGGGCCCACCTAGCCTCCTCTAAAATGGGTACCTGTTATGTTATAGCTATAAAATTATTTATTCTCTTCCATGAGAGCTGTAGAGTGAAGATAAACACATGCCTTGGCCTGCTATGACCACTCGTCGCTAGTAGCTGACAATGTCGTTCATGAGTTTGTACTTTTTGCAGCAGAACAGGCAGTCGAGAAATCAGCGAAGCAGTACAATACCATACACATACATAGAGTTCAAGTAAGTTGTTCAGAATCTTTAAGCTTCCTTCCTACAAATATCGATGCAATATGAACTACGTTTTCTGCTTGTTACACCCATTAGCTCATCTATGTTTCCAGCCACTAAATAAGACACTTCTCATAATACTACAGTCTCCCAGCATACATGTTCATTAAATATTGTAAGGGAAATTGCATCACACACAATTATCATATACCGATATCTGCAGAGCAGATTGAAACTTGATATCATAAATGAAAAGTAATATACCATTCATGACTAGTCTTATTTACAGAGAGTGAACCATTCAACAGCTTTCTGGTTGCAAAAAACTGATATTTAAAAAGGAAAGCCCAAATGCAACAGTTTGTATAAAAATACTATGAATACTTTCACAAATAAGCACTTACCAAAATAACAACATCTGGTGCATTGAGACATAACTCAGCTAGTGCAACCCTAGCTTTCTGCCCTCCAGAGAGATCCTTCATCTTTATAGTATGGGCATAACTGACTAAACCAAAAGTTCCAAGTTGCTTTCTTGCTTTTTCATATGGAAGATCAAATAATCTCATTAGGTACTCAGCTGGTGTCTCCTCAGCTGTCAGATGTTCGCCAGAATGCTGATCAAACCGTCCAATTCGCTGAAATACATGTAAAGACAATTTCAGATATAAAGTCAATAACTGAAAGTAAACACCTGTTTTTAACCTGATGCTTCCAATACTTCTCTTCTTCTTATAACACTTCCACTTCAAATGGACTCTCTTTTAACACGCTTCCATTTCTCAGTCTTCCCACAACTCCTCCTCCTCCTCAATTTCTTCCCATGTTTTGTTTTCCTCTGTATGACCTCTTTCTTAACATGCTGTTACTACAATTTTGCTTCTTACGTACTTCAAGCCCTCCACTTCTTTTCTTTCATGATTATTACACGATTCTCTAAAGGTCTGAGGCAGTCGTTGACTCATTACAGGAACACGAAGTTAGGCGCTGTCTATTGTCTCAGGGAAATCTGATGTACATAATATTTCAGGAATTGACTCTACTCCCATCTTCAGGCGACTGTCATGACATTTTTGTATTATAAGTGACAGTACCGTGACAACCAATCATCTGAAGACAAGAGTGAGCCTCTCCCAGATGAATATGATAAAGTGATTGGGATAAATTTGTTTTGACTACAGATAACTGAAAATACATCACAAAGTTTTCGTGTAATCATGACAAATCAGACACTTATTACAAAATGAGAATAAAGGATTTGCAGCTAGTACAAATGGACAAAAGAAATATATGCCTGAAATATTCCAATGGGGAGTCTTCTTGGCCATGGTCACATTAAGGTTCAAAACAAGGAACATAATTAGAATTTATCTTGATACACTATTATTGTTGGGGCTGTAGGTATCTACAGCAGTGTTGGAACACTGGCTTAGTTTTGTTAAAATGTTTATTTTGGTTTATTTTAAAAAACAACAGGATTCTCTCTCACCATACCTACATTTCTGCCACTATTTGCCTCACACCTGATATCTCTAAAGAAACAGGGTGTGATGGTATGGACTGGATTAAAGTGGCTCAGGATTTTGTCTAGTTACAGGTTCTTGTGAACACAATAAAAACGTTTTTGGTTCCATAAAACATCGGTATTGCCTTGGTTAACTGACGTGATATCAGCTTCTTATGGAGGATGTTTCTCCATGTAGTTAAAATGAAGCAACATCATAACATTAAAATTTTTATCATTAATTACTAACGACACCCAAAATAAAATAATTAAATGACCATTAACAAACACAATTTGGTATTACTCACCAAACGATAGTTCTTCCTCATATCACCCTGTTGCGGTTGCAAGTCTGATGTCAAAAGTTTGAGAAATGTTGACTTTCCAACACCATTTGGTCCAACGATGGCCACTCTTGAGTTCAGATCAATGCCAAAATCACAGTTCCTTAACAAAGGTTCCTGACTCGGGTAAGCAAATGTTACATCTGAAAAGTAATATTCTTGAGCGTGAATCTGTGCAAACAAACTTGACAACACAGTGCAGAATTTGTTCTCTATAAGAAATTACAGACGTGAGAGATCAAATTCAAACATTGCCTCAAAAGAGCTGTTACCCACGTGTCATAAAAATTTAGTACATTAAACCATGAATTAGGCTTCTTTCATTTATAGCCAATAAAGGGATTCAGAAGTTTTATGATTTTAGTCCACTCAAGCTCTGACATCCATTTTTACAACTGCTTAGGAGAGGTTGGTTTTGGGAGGGTCTACTAATGATACAGTTGAACAGTACCTGTTTTTTCAGTGCTTTAGGTTTGTTCTTTTGGTATGATTTATTCCAATGGTAATGGTGGTGGAGACAGGTTTTGCTACAGGTGTGCTTGATTTTCAAGTAATAGTGTCTTACAGTCAATTCTATTATGCAGTACTTTGCATCAGTTAGATGAAAACAATAGTTAACAGCTATGGATCCTAAGTAAGATGGCTGAAAATCATACTGACAGTAAGCTTTGGGTTCCTTGAGGATTTGCCATAGACCATAGACTAGGGACTAGGAGATTGTCCGAGAAATGACACTACTGGGCTGACCTTCTCAGAACTCTTACCATTGAAGACAACATGATAGGACTATGAGGGGGGGCTATATACTGTGTATATTGGGCACGGTCTTCTGTGAATCCAGTTCCGCTGTTTTGACTGTTGAAGAAACTTCTTCCAGATCAAGTATATTTGCAAGGCTTTCCTAACAAAGAAATCAAGTCTGAAATTCTTGACATGGTGTGTGCTACGAGAAGTTACACAACGCCAATGCTGCTGGGGAGGACAAGAATGAAGTTTGTACTGCCATCAGGAGGAGTCTTAAACACTTTACAAAACCAAGCAATCATTTCAAACTGTTTCTAAAGATGTCAGTTGTTTTTATTTGGGGGGGGGGGGG